TTTTTATATATATAACTGAACTGCTGTCAAAAGACAAACATCAAATTATAAGGGAAAAAATCATTTAATTTTTGAACATTGATCCATGGTTAAATTCACAATATAATCCTTATATATTCAAGAAAGGAACGTCATTAATTAATTAACATTCATTAACTCGATTAAGTTGATTTATTAACAAGTGGAGTATTTATGTAATTACATACTCTAACTTGTCAAGAAGCACTCCACTTTCCCAGTAACGTGTTCATTATAAATAATTAAGTGAATTGTTTAATTTAATTATTTGAGAATCAAATTTTAGTAGCAATTAAATGAGCATAAATCTTTATTTAGAGATTAATATATATAATTTTGTTTTATTAGTTTAATTGTTGGTTAACACAAAAACAAAAATGTTCTACGACGCAGAATATTCTCATTTGGTATGACTTTAAAAAAAATCAACAAAATATTCATTTTTTGCATATTTTAATTAAAATTGACACAATTTAACCTCATTGACAGATTTATACTTCCAGCCATATAAAACCTTTGGGTACCGACTTTCTCGGAAATCGTTGTAAATTAATTTTTTGGCTGATAATTTCGACGACTTCGGCCTGACTTACATTCTTAGAGCAAGCTCTAAACTAACTCTAACTACTCTAACTCTAGAAATTGTCAACAGCATTGACGTGAAAATCATTTTAGCCCTTTGGAATTATAGGCGATTGATGTAATTATCAATCTGATATTCGGATAACGACTTCTCAAAAATCGGAAAAAATTTAGTAGCCTAAAAATTAATTAATTTAAATTCAAACAAAAATTCAAATTTAGGAGTCTTTAGAGTTGTTAAAAAATATCATATCACTTTCGCGATTGAAAAAAAAATGTATGACCTAGTTTACTTGAAAAACATTTGGCTTTTAGAAATTATATGGTTATTTATATATTTTGATTGCTTTTCCTACACTTTTCTTGCAATCTACATAAAAAATGCTGTAAAATATTTTATTCTCATAGTTTATTTGGGCATGTAAAAAGGCAAAATAAAAATGTTTCGAAGTTCAAAATGTTTTGAGAAATCAGGGCCTATTCACGAGAACTGGCGAATATGTGTCCGACATATTGGAGTGTTGAATCACCAAAAGAAGTTTGGTCCAAATTCGTTAGCCACCAACCTGGTCGTCCCCATTGTGAGCTTAGCAATTTTAAGAAAAACTAAAATATTACAGTGCGGTTTGTTAACCACAAACACACTCATTATTAACAAATTCTATAACTGTCTTTTTAACTTTTAGATTTTAAATTGTAATTAGGAGATTCAGTTGAATAATCCGGTTTACACAATTGCTGTTCCTTTATTGAAAGAAATCTGTATATGATTGTAGTAATATATTTTAATATTGGAACACCAAATAGATACTCGTGAAGTTAAATCGCTCACGAGTCTTGAAAAATGCCAATGTCGCAAAGTACCAGCGAATTCATATTGCCAGTGCTGTGCGGGTTTAGTTTCGTCATGCACAAATTGCCAGAAAGAAGCAGCCAACAATTTATCAGGTTAACCATAATATTTTTGATTATTTGTTCGCCAATTCTTAAAAGTCAGTATTCATAACATTTTAAACGAATTGAAAACCGTTAACCACAGAATAAACAATTTTTTTATATTTCTTATGTATGGTTTTAGTTAAGATGAAAAATTAGTGCCATGAGTGGGATCTACCTCTCAACCAAAAACCTTAGATAAAAAGATTGATTTATTGGAATTATTAGTATGGTCAATTATGACCACTAAGCAATATGGATTATTTTTTTAAATTTCTACATACGTAAGACAATTTTTTAAATTGGACTTTCTTGAGTTTATTACATTCACCCGGCCATTCTAAGATAAATAACATAGGACGTTATTTCAGATAGCCTTCCGTTAAATCAACGTATAGCACTAAAAACAATTTAGTATTACCGTTTACGCTGAGGTTATGCAACTGTCCCTATTGTTCCGATTATAATCGAACCACAACCATTCAACTCTCAGGTTTACTAGGGTAACAAGGAGTATACACATTTGTGTTCGATAAATAGCGTATGTGAAAAAAATTGCCTTTTATTTCGTGGTTTACATTCATCGTTGTTATTGTCGTTTATCTAACATTGTAAACTTAAAGAGAAAAAAAATACTCAGCCACTTCGTAATATCTGAACACTTGTTTTTAAGTACACGGTTTTATGTTATATTGTTGAAAGCGTTCGCCGGCCGTAACTACTATAAACAAGTTATATGGATACGTCTTCTTCTCTGGAAAATAATAAAGATATAGGCGGGGGGGGCAATATGGGGGGGGTCAACCCGATGTTTTACGAGCCGACGGTTATGCAGCCCATTATGAAACTGCCTTATAAAAGGCCCACCGCGGAACACTAAGCGGCCCCGTTAGACAGCCTTTTTAGACCGGTTGTATATTTACTTTATGATTGACCAAATATCGATCGGATATTTTACATTTCTTTAGAAGAATAGGAATTTTGTTTGAATTGTGTAATACATACTGTTGAATAAAAAACAACGTTTGCTCCTTTGACATTTATTAAATTTATAGTGAACTGATTATGGAGGCAGCTTGTGGAAAATAAACTGATGTAGTTAATACGGGTCTCCACAGCGAATCCTGCAGAAAAATGCAAAATCTAGTGACTTACCTATAGTAATTTCATAAATTCTGGCGAGAAGACGGTCTAATTAAATTTTTAATTATATTATTTTCTAATTAAATTAACTGTACTTGATTGGACTCTTTTTAATTTTGATGGGATATTTTTCTCTTCTTCTTCATTTACAGTTAATGTAAAATTCGGTTACTGTACAGTAAAAATTTAACATCAGTTTTCCCATATATTTTTTACTCAGGCGTTTGGACAAATCCCGAGAAAGGAAAGCTGTTATTTGACAATTAATTAGGGTTTTTTGCTGAGATAAAAAAGTCCGTGACACGAGCGGGACTCGAACCCACGACCTTCGGCTACAGATAACAGGACATTTGAAAAATGGCAAAAAGGAGGGTTAATTCAAAAGGTGAGGTTGAGATGGGAAGTTAGTGTCCGAGTGGATCGAAGTCACGATAGCTCAAGTGGTAGAGCAGCGGCGTATCTAGCCGAATGTGGTTGGTTCGAATCCCGCTCATGACACTAACTTTTTTATCTCAACTAGAAACCTTAATTAATTGAAATATATTAATTGGTCAAGCGGACCACGAAAACTAGTGAATTTAAGTTGTTGTTTGTTGTCTAGTTTCGCTTGAACTAAAAAATGCTGTTTTTAATTTCAATAGATCGCAAGTTATTCTCAAAAAAATATTGGCAAATTCCTTCTCGATTTTTTTCATCCAAGAAACAATTTATCTATTTATAATTTTAATTGACAATAAATTGGTCGTGGTTCAGAAAGAAATATTACAGAAAAATTGCCTCAGATAAATCGATGTACATAGCTCATCAAAGCTTGATTTGGCCTGGTAAAAATTTAGATCCCCAGAATCCATTGATACAACCTTAAAGAAATCAATGTTTGACATAGAGGACTTAAAAGTAAAAATTGATTTGTTGTTAAAAAAAGATTGAAATGTTTTGATACATACTTTTATGCTAAAACCTATCAGACTAAAGTTAATTTTTTATGTTCTTCGACTTGCTGTAATGCAAATCGTACATTACAAGAAAAAGTGAAGATGATTTGCTGTTGGAAAAAGTAGGCCTAAATTTGCACCATCTATGAAAAAGTATTTTACTATAATTTAAAATGTTAAATAAATAAATTGAAGGTTTGTTGAAGGAGTCCTACAACCAGTTTTTGGAAAAAAACTTTTTGGGGATAAATAAATAACCGTTGCTCCAAAATAAAAATTGTTTTCATCATCAAATTCTGCGTCAAAATCCTTTCCAAATTACGTGCATTGATTTGTATCTTCGCATTAGATTTAGGCCAGTACTTATTCGTACCCTGTTATCCTCGAGAGTTACATGAAAACTTTTGGTTCATGAGAAATTAGACAAAAAGTAAAAATTTATGTGTCTGGGGTTTGTTTTCACGAAAACCACAATCCTGTAGGAATTCGAAACATTTCGGACTTTTTTAGTCAGATTTGTTATTTCATTTCCCGTAGGACTGCGGTTTCTCGTTTCTGTCCTGGCCTTGTAGTGCTCCAGTTTCTATGAAGCGCCAAGGAACCCTTCCTACTGTAGAGCGATTTACACTAAGTCTGCTTCGCATTGACTGTATCCTTTCTCAAATATTGTTATGACCCTGACTCTGTCATACTCTCTCAAATTCCTGACTGGAGCCATTGTAAAAGTTTTAAGAATAAGAATAATATCAATTGAAACCAACGAAAGAAAAAGGTTAACAGAAAGCGATAAATTTAATACTTTTTAACTTTAGTTTGAACAAGTTTAACACTCAAAAGCAATACTTACAAGTATATATTTATCATTCTGAGGTGAAGTCTCTAAGATGAATACTGTCATGTTTAATGAAATAGAAATATGTTATCCAAAAAATTCTATAAAAATCTATTTTATAACTTACTAGTTCAACAATATTATATTAGATAAAAAATATTTATTTACTGTTTATTTATTCAAAAAATTAATGACTTAGCTGTAGAAAAGCCTACCGATTTCGCACAATTGTTGTCTCACTCTGGAGGACTTTTTATAGGCTCAGAAACGGGGTTTTCATTTTCTGTTTTATTTTAATAAAGCCGGATCAGGTTTTAACGACCCGTGCCGTCTAATTTACGGGTGTTTTCGCCCCAACATTAAAAGTACGCGGGCAGTTTAAATTTCGAATAAGTGCCTTTCAAACTTTAATGGTGTATCTGGTGAGTTCCGTTTTTCGACTGTAATCTTAAACCTACCATTTAATATCTAATTTAGTTATTTGGTCATCAACTATAAAGTTAGGTGGATACGATTGTTATAAAGTTGATAATTAAATTAATTGCAAGGCTTACCTATTTCAAGATATTTCTGGTGAACCGGATCGTACTCTTCCCAGTTTATGCTCCTGAAACGGTTCCTCTCTTTGGAGCCGGCTAAGATGGTGTCTTTCGTCTGGAAATCATTCGGGTTCCTGGAAAAAAAATTGTCTACATTCGGCTGTGATGATTTCGAGGGGTATTGAAAAATAGATAATACTACGTTGACATAATTTGACTTGATAACCTTTAAAATATGTACATTAGAGCTAAAAGCTAAATTAAGTGTACGCAGTTGGCCAATAGAGTGTAGTTATTTATCATTTTAAATTTATTTAATCGTATTTGTAGCTTGATGGAACAGCTTCCTAATTTATGGGAAGTCTTGCTTCTCAAGTGTAATTAATAGCTTTAGATCGCTTTTGTGACTTAAGAGGAACGAAGCACAAGTTTTATTCCCAACGATAAGGCAATTTACAAGAATGGGAACCGTTCAAATTAGAATTCCAAGTTAATCGATGGTAGCTGGGGAAAAAGTAAATTACCAATTGAAGATGTACCTTGCAAGATTTACCGCCACGCTCGATAGAAAGTAAAACATACCGTTGATACACAAAGTCTTTAACTAAAGAAATGAATTTATTGAGACGATTAAAAATATAATGGAAAATTTATGTACACACGTAGTATAGTAATTTAAAATCTTCTGGTTGAATTGAATCTTGATGTTTATTTCAATTTTAAACTATTCAAATCATTAGTGTTCAAAAGTCATTTTTACATTCATTTAAAAAACATATATATAAAATTATTCAATGAAACATTTTAAGATCCAATTAGCATCTATCGCCTATCTAGCATCTATATACCTTAGTGGCACAGTATGGTGTAAGTTGTGTATTATTTTTGGCCCTATTATTCCCACCTCGCAAGATAAAATTCTAGTCCAATGTTAGCAACTTTTGGTGTGGGGTTTGCCTTTTAATACATAAAACAGATGCAACAAATTTTCAAATGGCACACGTGATAACGTCTGATTTGGATCAACCAATTGGTCCTGCAGGATGTTGGTCCTGTTGGAATAATTACTGATCGTGGATTTCAATTTCAGTTTGCTACACATCAAGTCGCAGCGCATTATGCTATGTCCGTTAGCATTCCTGATTGGACCTAATTAGCAGCCCCATGCCATGAACCTCTCCTATCACTTGGCTACCATTATGTTCCCGTAACTGATCGTTTTTTGTTTTTTTTTCAAATCAAATGTTTAAATTTTCAGTTCGACCTCAAGTCTTCTCCAAACTCCTCTGTTCATGTCACTGAATCTAACTTTCATCAAAGAAACCGTTGTCGAACTGTTCTTGTTTGGTTTGGTAATTTTCTGGGTCTAATCATCCGATTTTGTTCACTAAGGGAATTTCATGGTGTTAGAAAAAAAAAATTATACAGATTCTATACTCATAAGAAGCCCTGGCAACCAGTTCATGAGCGCTACCAGTTGAACTTTTAATTGATGTCTATATAACTTTTCGATTCTTCCTTGCACTTAAAAATTTACGATCTTCTTATGTTATTTTGACCGTTTTAGAAGGGAGTGTTGGTGGCCTGAACGGTTTCGGGGCTGAATCGGCGTTCGTCACTATGGAAAAGGTCCCGGGTTCGAATCCCAGCGGTCCTGCATTATGACATACTAATGAGATTTTTTTAAAAAAAAGCACTGGCTACCCGAGGCAACAAAAACATTCTTACAGTGAAACAGTGAAATGTTAACACGACTAACTGTGCAAACACGTTTTACATCCATTGGATGTACTGTAATTAGCAACACAAACTACGACAAAATACTAGCCAATCGTCACGATACTGAACCGATTAGAAAAAAAATTTTCTTAAAAAAAAAACTGTTAATAGGAAAAATAACTCCAACAAAAGTCTGGCATTAAACAATATAATTGCCATTGGTATACTGCAAGGTAGAACAGCCCTTTCGGCTATCCATCAACCCCTTCCACGGGGCCATCCGTCAAGCCCCGCCTAGGTGCTACATACTCCGAAACCCTACACGTCACTTGATCATTTTTCTAAGTTCGTGCCGCGGTTGCGTAATAAGACCGAACGGGACTTCGGTATTAATGCTTTTCTCATCCGCCACACTCCCCGTACAGCAACCTGATGTAAATCCTCGGCACTTCCGCTTTCACCGGCCGACTTTCCATATATATTGACGGTTTAAATATAAAACGTTCTCCCTAGAATGAATCTGACTCGTTCGAACTGTTAAATAATAATTACATTTCAACAAAATAAAAACCAAAATTAAAACCTACAATTAATTTAATTTTAAATATTTGCCTTTTAACGTAAATCAAAGAAAGAACACCAAAATCACATCACTTTAACTACTTCATATTATGAAGGTTGAAATAATATAGCGTTGAGAGTAATTAAAGTAAAACTAAACAGTACCAAACGTTTCACGACCTCATTGTTTAAACAAGCATAACAATACATTTCACGGTTTGACATTCAAAATGTTGATCTAGCAGAAATAGTTGCCTCGACCTTTTGAACGACGGCAAAATGCAAATATACAGAACTAATTCTACAACAGTTTTTCTTAGGTAAAAGACAACATTTTTATATTAATAACCTAAAACATTATGTGTTTTTTATTGACTGGTTGTTTAATAATTTGTTGGATTCGTGAGGATCGACGAAAGTTTGACAACTTGCAAATCCAACAAATTACTAAAATGTAATGTTAAATCCAAGCAATTTAAATTCGGCGTCATTAAAAATTAGAATTGTAATTAAATTTGGACTAATAGCATTTTGCACAGAAAAACGTTTTATAATCTGGTTTTGGATGTTATTGGGTATGTCGTCCTACAATGAATCATACACAATAACATCCCAAACCAGATTATAATCAAAGTTGGTCGATAACTGAACAACCTCACAAACGTTTTAGGCAAATGCAATTAACTGTTTGATTACTGATTTATGTATGCTCAAATCTGCACACGATGTTCATACATAAATAGACTCGTATACATAATTATTCAAAGATCGTGAGACGCGGTCTGGTGTGACGTAGGTTTTAGAAAAAAAGTTTCTTTATCGTGCCAACGTTTTGATCTTTATTGAGATCATCTTCAGGGCCTGGGATTTACAAACATTGATTAAATTTAACAAATATATATAGGATGAGGAAAAAATGGTGAATTTATACAATGCAAAAAATATTTTTTATATTCAATCAAAGTATTTCCACTCACTCAAAATGTTTGTCTTCTGCGTAATTGTGCCATTCTTATGTGTCGTGTTGAGAGTGCGTCAGATTTATTTGTTATTGATGTGGGATCTTTAATTTTGGAAATTCACACACTTTTTTCCAAAATTAAAGCTCCCACACCAATAACAAATAAATCTGATGTAATCTACAAAATCAATTGTTTAAATTGTCCGGCAACTTACATCGGTCTTATATCCCAATATCTGGATAAGAGAGTAAAGCAACATATCCATGATTGCAAAAAACCTATGCAAAATACTACAGCACTCGCTACCCATCATTTTGAACACAAATACAATTTCGACTTCAACAATCCAAAAATATTCCAAACAGACCAAAACAAACTTAAACGTAACTTTTTAGAAATGGTTTACATCAACAGAGATAAATACAGCATCAATTACAGAACATACACATGTGAACTCAGTCGCAGCTACGCCAACATCTTTAATCAAATTTAATATCGATAACATACATATATTATCATCACATCAAACAAAACGTATAATACAACATATAAACAATCATCACATTCCACATACCAAACATGTCTACATAGTCTATTTTTTCAACAATTTAGCTTTCGTTTCCCTAATTATCCCCGTCTATGTAATCCTGAAAGGACATCTGGCCAAACCATTACCAACGTTTTTTCCCTTCGTTGGCAATTTTCACCTCAAAGAAGCCGACTCTTTATATAAAAATGTCTTTCTATACCGAATTCCTTCCCCACCTTTTCAAAAACCAACATATATAAACTTAAAACAGCATTATCTCAATGGCACTTTCAACACGACAAACAAGAATGGCATATCTACACAGAAAACAAACACTTTGAGCGAGTACAAATACTTTGATTCAATAAAAAAATATTTTTTGCATTGTATAAATTCACCCTTTTTTCCTCATCCTACATGTATTTGTTAAATTTAAGAAATGTTTGTCCCTGAACCAATCCCAGGCCCTGAAGATGATCTGAATAAAGATCGAAACGTTGGCACGATAAAGGAAATGGTTTTTATAAAACCCACATCACACCAGACCGCATCTCACGATCTCTGAATAATCATTAACTAACGGTCACTAAACACCACACACTCGTAAACATAATTGAGCCTATGACTTCTTGCAGACCACGGCCATTCCAGCTTTTATAATTTACAATAAATTACTGGCAGTCCTCAAGAATCACCCACCCCGTTGGCTGAACGGGTTCAGCCTTCGGTTTTATCAAGAAGTGGTCAACAGCAAGGTTATTTCAACCCCTACGCAATCAGTTCCTAAATCTATTCATACTCTCACTCACTCGTAAACACTTTCTTAGTTATTTACTTACCATTCACTTGGATGTGGTGGTGGGGTTCTTGTTATTCTTGTTCACTCTTTTCACGTATTATATAACAAGTCTAAACAATGTTCGATGAGGTATTCAATATTCAGCCATCTGCCCTCTTTCATTACATTCACACCAATAAATACGTTCACTCTTATCACACGATAGGGACACAAATCTCTCATTGCTATGTACAATGAACCAACCCTGTTTCTTTCATGAATCGGATGAGGGGACCCCGATCATCCCTGCCGTCTTCAATCATAATTCCCATTTTGGATAGCTTTCCGATAGCTTTCCTACGCGCTCTCAGCATGGAGCCGAGGCTTTCAATTAGATAGGACACATCGAACCCTGTTCTCTGCATGCCGGATACGTTCTAAGGGTGAAGAGGACACTTCTTCTACGAGTTAAATCTTCCGAGGGTTATCTATCGTCAGTGCTCTTGATAAGCAAGAGCTTCATGCCGATTTTTTTTTAAACCACGGAACGTGTGGTTATGTCCGTAGATTAGCACATTGGGAAGA